GGGGGGGGGGGGGACGACGACAAATCTCTCATTTTAAATCCCAGGTGGACAGTCGATAATAACTTGTGATGGCATGTACAGAGGTCACTTTAGATAGATTACAACTTTTATTGCACTATTACCTCATGACCACTCTTTCTAACCTGGGCCTTTAGTAGATACCACTGGATACTTTTATCCTACATTTCCCCTACAAGGGTCTCCTATGCCCATGTAGCTGAGGCCTTGAAAATGTGAGTTGTTAGTATATGTATGCATGGTGGGTTCCAAAATAGTGAGTCTGACAAACCCTTACATTATTCACTATTTATGTGTTACCCAGTGAAGGAAGGAAGGCTTCCACATACATTCTCTATTAAACAACATCATAACAATCCACACCAAGAGACTTTATAAACAAATCACATTTTAATCACCTGGCTTTGTTTAATCTACAAAATCAGTTCACAGTTTTTTCTAGTCTGTTTTATCTAACCATGTAATTCTAATGTTTTAAGAAACACATGTTCTACCTTTCATTTTGCAACAAGGAGCCAACTTCCCTTACATTCCTCATGACTAGCTGATGCAGTCTGCAGTCATCTCGAATAAACACTGATGGAATGGTGGTAAACTATAGACTCAATAATCCTTCAGAATAGTAAAAAAAAAAAAAAAAAAGTCACCAAGCAAGCCAACCTCCAAAGTTCCCTGAAACAGCTCTTCCTGGATGCTCCAATCACTGAAATCTTTGCTCCTGTGGTCACCCTGGCCTGGCACCATGAGCCTTCCTTTCCTTCTGCCTCTGTCTCGAGTTCTGCAGTGTTTGGGAGATGGAGCACAGAGGGGTCTGAAACTTATTTCTGCTGCTGAGCACACTAGACCAAGAAACAGATCTCAACATATGTGCCAGCACCATCCAGCCCTGGTGTCCTGCAGTGACCACCACAGTGATGGTCTATTTGGTGTATTTCCCACTTTTCCTCTGGAAACTTTCCCTTTGGTGATCAGTTCCCCTGGGGCTGACCCCCTCAGCCCCGGAAGTAACACAAGGTACTCAGGGACTCACTGCCTGACATTTCACATCCTTTCTCACCTCACTCCTTAGTGTTACTATTTTGACAGTGATATGTTTGTCTTTTAGAGCAAAGGAGGAAACTTGCCTTGTTTTGAGGGCATAAAGTATGACATCACATCTCTGACATCTCAAGAGAACTCTAAGGAAGAAAAGTTTCTTCATGATAACAGTAATGCCAAAATCTCAGTATGTGACCGCATGATTTCAAGGGCCCCTGTAGGGAATTACTTGCATTCCTCTCTGTCCTTTGCACACATGCATCCCCCCCAACTTTGAAAAAGGGCTCTGTTTTATCTCTCCCAGAGAAGAAAACCTTTGCCTCATTTATAATACTCTAAAAATTCACACTGGCTTCTCCATACTTTCCAGCATGAGCTCAGACACTGTATTTTAACTGAAATGCCCAGAGCAAGTTTTTTAGCTAACGACTAACCTGAGGGCCACTGCCATCGGCCCCACCTACACTATAGCACAAACCAAATGTGCAGCTGCTTCCTTTCTTCCCACCAAAAGCATCAAAGCTCAGGGCAGCAAGCTCCTCAGAAGCAGGACATCCAGAACACCTGGGAAAGGTGGCACAAGCTCCTGATCTGCAGTAATCACGTGTGAACTTGGGATGCTACGTAAAAGGCTGACTAGGAGTGGCTTAGGGCTTTTCTTCTTCTTTAACTTGGGCAAATCACACAGACCTCTGAGCCTCTCATTCCACTCCCATTCCTACAACAAAAAAAGCATATCTGAAAAATTCTCAATTCTTACTGTCACCATACTCCTCACTCCCTTATAATACACTGAAGGAAAAAACCTCCTCCTTAACTCTCTACTAAAAACTAAAATTTGGGGGATCCTATGAACAGTCAGGCGGCCAACATGATGATGGAAAGTTGAGCAAAACATAACGGGGTTGATAGGAAAGTATCTCAGAGAGTGTTAACATCATTGTTAGTCAAACCCTAGTAAGAATAACTTAGTGTTCCTCATCAGATGAAAGGCCTTCAATTTCATCTCTGTCTCCCCCAATCGCCATCCAGAAGGCTTTGGCAACCTGTGGAAAGAAACATGCAACAAATTTTAGCCAACAGCTAAATTTCAGCTCATTTCATGTCATACTTTGAACTGATTAAGACCCAAAATTCTGTACCTTGCCTTTCAGCTCTCTTGCAACATATATCAAAACCCTTGAAAATCCTGAACCTAGCCTTCCACTTCGAGAAATTTACACTCAGGATATAATCAGAGTTGTGTACAATGGTGTTCTGTAAGGATATGCACAGCTTCACTATTTATAGAAGCAAAAATTACACATAACTTTATTGTCCAAAAGGGAACTGGATAAATTATGACACATTCAATAGAATACCATAAACCATATATGTTTCCTGCCAAGAATATGTGTTGCGTTGGTAATAAAAGAAAACAAAACAAAACTAAGAGTTTCCCAGCCCAACAGTTAGGAAGGCAAACATCCTGAGCCTCAATGAAAGTTCCATGTCACTCAGCATACATTTGAAAGATCTTGGTTTGACTGTAGCAACTAAGTTACTATTGTGTAAATATTCAATTAGTTATAAGTTAAAATCCAATGAAAAGTTCACACTAAGACACTTGAGAAAAAAGTATAATTAAGTGCTATAATTCTAATAGCATGGACCTTTTGTAGGTGCTCAATAAACATCTGACTAATTGTCTCACCTTTTCTGCATGCAACTTTCTTTGCTCGTGAGGCAGCGTCGCAGCCTTGTCTAGGGGGAAAATATATCTTAAGAAATTCGTCTAATAGCACAAGAGAATCTGGAGTGTACAGATGTTGCAACACTAAAAGATGGGAGGGAGATGGGTTTCAAAGACATGTTTATGGTGTAGTCATTATAGCTATTAGAAAGTTTAGGGAATGATGTGAGTAAATTGGTAGAGATCTCACTGATTTCATATTAATGAGACACACTGAAAGAAACAGGCAAGAGAGGAAGGGAAAATAAGAGGAAAGAATAAAGGAAGAGGAAAGTTTTCCCCAGGGAATTTTTACCACCTCTCCCCATAGGTAAGTTTTTCAAGATACCTGAGACCAGAGCATGGAATCGAATCAGCAGTTACAAAAAAAAAATCCTACTATATAAAACCGGGGATTATCAATACGGGAACATGTTAGACACAATGGATCTGATTACCTTTCATTTCCTTTAACTTTGAAAACAGTCTTTCAAAATTCTCCAAATCTCCTCCACCTGTAGTAAGACTGGCTAATTCTTGAATATCCAGATCTAACATGGGATCTGAAATAAGGATTTGTCACATTGTCACATGTTACTTATATATGTACTAAATACACAAAATCATTCTAAGGCAATCAATCCTGGCTTTGATGAAAAGTCACCACTGAGTGCGTGCCCTGGGTACCAGCTTTCTAGCTCATGGTGCTTCATTCAGCATGTTTGGCTGCTAATGGGCCCTACAAATGAATAGCAATTTATTTTATCCTTACACCATCATAATGAGGCAAGGCACACAGTTTCCATTTTAGAGATGAGAAAACTAGAGCTTAGTGTTGAAGTGATTTGCTCAAGGTCACAGCTAGTAAGTGTGACCTTGAATTCAGACTTAGGTGTTTCCAACTCTGTGGGCCACACTCTCCACTAAGGTACAACAATTCAGCAACAAATGCCTGAAATGTATACCATATTTTACTGTGCAACACATATTTTCACATCTATTACTGACAACCATATAAGGTGGTTAAGACAGATTTTGCTGTCCACAATTTGCACATGAAGAAACTTGGGTTTAAAAATGAACTCATCTAAAATTACAACTATTCAGAGGTAAAGTTTGTTTTTAATCAGAATTTTAACTCATCCTCCACTCCAGGCCAACCACCTCCAGGATGTCCTCCCTGACCATCCTAGCTCTCAGGTCTCCTTCCTTTGAATTCGTCCCATGCTTAGTGTTTGCAGAACTGTCGTGGCACCGGCATATGCTACTGTGCATTCTGACACCTGGCCACCATTGCTATAATAAACACTACCATTGTGAGAGAATTTGCTTTGTGTCTGCACCACTGAGTGCTTTAGCTTAGCAACATTCCATTTCATTTTTGTCACAGCGTTGTAAAGAAAGATTTGTTAACCCCTATTTAGCCCACTGAGGCTAAATAACTTACTCAAGGTCATCTCATCACTAGTGGTAGAGCCATGATTCGAACCTAGTTGTCCAGGACTCAAACCCACAACTTTAACCATTATATTACAAGGCCTGTCTCTGCATTTTTAGACTGTAAGCTCCTTGAAGTCACAGGTGATAACTTATAGTTCTTTTCATCTACTACAAAGTCATATAGATAATTTGGTGTTAAAATGCATTTTGGTTAATGAATTTGCTTTAGTTCAATGGGCATGTCAGGCTGCCAGCTGGCAGACAGGGTTAGACATAAAAATTTGTGATTATCTGTGTATACACGATAATTGAACTGTGGACGTGGATAGAATCTCTTTGTGCTTAAATACAGATTTGGAAGAAGAGATTAAGTGGAGCATTGAGGAATGGCAATATTTAAAGGCTGGGTGGAAAAGAGTAATCTTCCAAAGAAAGAGAAGGAATAATCAGAAAGGCAGGAAAACCACCCAACTAAGATGTGTTGGGTGAGTCAAGAGAAAATATTGTTTCAAAAGGGATTGCTCCATAAATATTGAATGGTGCCAAGAGGCCATGATGAGGAATGGAAGACATCTATTAGGTTCAGTGGCATGGAGGTTGTTGGTGAGCAATTTTAGTGGGAAATGGAGACAAAAGTTAGATGGGAGTGCACTGAGGAGTGAATGGGAGGTGAGGAATGGAAATAAGTTTAGTAAAGAAAGAAGGAAAGGAACATTGAGTCGAAGTGTTTTACTTCTGCTGGTTTAGTTTTGCCTTTTAAAAAATTTTTTGAAGTAACTTTAGTCTTACAATAAAGTCACAAAGCCCTGGCCAGGTGGCTCAGTTGGTTGAAGTGTTGTCCCATACACCAAAAAGGTTTCGGGTTCAATTCCCGATCAGGGTGTATATGGGAGGCAGCTGTTTCTCTCTCACGACAATATTTCTCATTCTCTCTCTCTCCCCCTTCTTTCTCTCTCTAAAAATCAATAAACATATATCCTTGGGTGAGGATTAAAAAAAAAAGTTGCAAAAATAGTAATATTCCCTTCACCCACCTTCCCTTAATGTTAACATCTTATATAACCATGTTACAATTATAAACGTCAAGAAGTTAATAATGGTGCAGTGCTATTAACTAAACCAGACTTCATTCAAACTTCCACTAAGCCCAGCCGGGCGTGGCTCAGCGGTTGAGCGTCGACCTAGGATCCAGGCGATCAGGGTTCGATTCCCGGTCAGGGCACATGCCTGGTTGCGGGCTCGATCAATGACTCTCTCATCATTGATGTTTCTATCTCTCTCTCTCTCTCTTCCTCTCCTTTCCTCTCCCTGAAGTCAATAAAGGTATATTTCATAAATAAATAAATAAATAAATAAATAAATAAAACTTCCACTAAAATCCTTTTCTGTTTCAATATCCTACACAGAATTGAGCTGTCAAATTACCATAGTCTTCTCTAATTTCTGACAGTTCCTGAGTCTTCCCTTGTCTTCTATGACTTAGACACTTTTGAAGAGTCCTAGTCAGTAATTTTGTATAATGTCCCTCAATTTGGGTTTGTCTAATGTTTTCTTGTTAGATTGAGGTTATGCACCTTTGGCAAAAACAGCACAAAAGTGAGTGTCCATTTGGTGCATATGGGGGGGAGATATCAGTATGTCTCATTACTGGTGAAGTCATCTTCATCACTAGAAGTGGTATCTGCCAGGTATTTCAAATATAAACTTACTATTTTCCCTCTTGTAATAAATAAATATCTTAGGAAAAATGCTTTTAGACTATGCAAATATCATGTTTCTTCTTAAATTTTCATCTATTAATTTTAACATCCATCAGTGGATCTGGCCTGAACAACTATTACTGTGGTGTATGACTGACTAATGGTGATTTTCTATTTCCCTCATTCCTTCTACATTTACTAATTGGAATTCTTCTGCAAGGAGGAGCAGTTATCCAGTTATCATTTTGTTTATTCAATTATTTATTTATATTAGTATGAATTCATGAATATTTCTTTTATTCCATGGGCTATAACCTAATACTATATTAATTTATTTTACTGGTCAAATTGTTTCAGTTTTAGCTCTTTCAGGTTGGTTCCCCTGCCTTTTCAATGTCCCCATTCTTTTTTGAGCACTTTCTTACTTTTTGATACCATGAGATGCTCCAGGTTTATCCTGCATTTTTCCTGCCCCAGACCTGAGATCATCCACTTCTCCAAGTAGCCCTGGTATCTTTTGGGAGAACAGTATTTAGAAACCAACATCTAAGTGCTAAGTGTGCACATTGCTATTGGAGTATCGTTGCTTCTAGGACCTCTCAGTGGCTAGAGCTAGGAGAGAAATATATACTAGCACATGTATACACACATCTATATTTCTCTATTACTCTAACAATACATATACTTTTAAAAACTATGTGTTTATGCTGATACTATCAATCTCAGTCCAATATTGAAGTATTTATCCCAGCCCTCCCCTTTCCTCATTTGTAACTTTCTCTGACAGAAACCTAGCTCTCTTTATATACACTATAATTTCTTAATTTTTCAACCATAAATATGTAAATATATATAATTTCAGAATTTCTAACCCATATATCTATGAGAATCAAATTTATTAAGCAAAGTGCAGTATTTCTGTTCAGCTCTTTTTGTCTTTAGCCTTACGGCCTCCAGTCAGAATACTGTTTTCCCAAGTTAATATTTAGGTTAGTTCTTGTCTCCCCCACCTTTTTCAGTGTGGTTAATGGTTTGTTTTCATAAAAGGGACTTTAGCAGGTTTAAAAGCCAGCTGAAACTACTAGTGTATGTCAATTATATCCCAATTTAAAAAGAGCCCATAGGAAAGATTTAATTGAAAGAACAAGACTGAATTTAAACTAGAGAGAAAAGAGATTATATGGGGTTTTTTCTTCTTAATATGTTTCTATAACCAATCACTTGAGTTTTCTACATGGATTATTTTATCATCAGGAAAAAATGGTTTTAAAAATTTATTACTGCACATGGCCCCTCTGTGGCATAAAGTAGAGATGTAGTAGTTCCCTAACAAGAGAACATTTACAGTTATTTCAACTAAGCTCCTTGGCTTTCTGGCTTTCGGACAATAGGCTGGATTCTCATTTCAGCTCCAAGACCTTCTTATTAGATACCCTTGGACAAGTTATTGAATTTCTCTATGCCTCACCGTCATCTCTGTAAAATAGCTTCTCTGCCAAACTTCATTACCAAGTAAGAAAGTGGATATAAAAGACCTTTAAAAGGATATGAAAAGGCTTATAAAGTTGTATTATTCTTGATGCCATCAATTCTGACTACTGTTAAATACTATGAAAAAACTGTGTAATATGGAGATATAAAGCTGTTTCACCACCTGGTCCTGTCTGTTTTAGCTCAGATGATCTGAATCAAATCCTACTAAGAGAATCAGAGAGAAAAATGATACCCACAGATTTGTAATGTATTTATTCTCTCTCCTTTTCTGATAGCCACCGCAAGGCTCACATTCATTTGGGGTACACTATCAATTTTCTTCCCTTGTCCATAGATAAAGTCAATTTCCCCCAGATGATTTATTCCCTGATACACTGGCTATTCCAAGTTCCACAGAGCTGTTTCTTGGCAGACAGAGGAGGAACTTACCCACAATGCTATCAACCTGAGCGTCTGCTGTGTTTGCTGCACCACCCTGATGATCTAAGAGGGATTCAGTCCTATCTGCTGCTGGCAAATGGGGCTGCTGTTGAGGAAAACACACACGAGCAATAATTTAATAGCAGGCTACGTCAGAACTAAATCCAAAAGGCTCACACTTCCACCCACTGGCTGACTTTAGAGAAGCAGTAGTAAGAGCTAGAGACAAGGAGAGATGGAAGAATGTTCAATATCACATAAAAAAATAAACGGCTAAAGACTCACTAACTCAGGAGTATTTTCTCTCAAGGAAGTGTTATGATTTTGCTACTGACTATTAAAACATATTGTTTATTTTGTTTAAGATCCATGTTTTATTCGAACTATGAAAATGAACATGATCATATCACAAACAGCTCAGAGGCTGATGAAAAAGATGCCTGAAAAGACAATGTGGCCCTGTCTAATGTGCTCTTGGTTCCAGCACATCGACCAAGGTAAACCCAGACCAAAGTCCTTTAGGACAGAGGGTTGAAATCAGCTTACTAGGCTCTTTGAGGGCAAGGACCTTGCCTCAGATTTGTACAGGGCCTTGTACATGGGAAGTACTGAAAAAGAACCATTAATTTTATGTTTAAAGATCTGGAAGCAACTTTAGACCTCAAGGAAATCCTAGCAAGAAAACATGAAACAACCCAGATTGCGAACACCTTGAAAGCGCTCACTGCTCTGATGCTGAACCAACCTTTTCTCAATAGCTATGAGGCACAAGAGGACTGCTTTACATTCTCCTTTTACCTATTTTTAATATTCTCTGCCACTTCTTAAATGGAAAGGAAAAATAATAAATGATGTAAAGATTCATAATGACAAGAAGAAATTAAAGTCCAAGAGGAGAAAAGATAAAGGAAAAATCTTTACCTCTGAGTGACAGGGATCTGCTGACCCAATGCTATGGTTTGCTCCAGCCAATGAGCTGAGAAGGCCAAAGCCTTGGTTCCTATCTGAAAAGAAAAAATAAATCACTGAGAATTTTAATTTATATTTTAAGTTAAAATGACTGCAATGATGAAATGGCTATTTCCTCATTATAAAAGTTCTAACTGTAAAACGTAGTTACTACCAATTACCATACTCTCTAAATTCTGAATAATTTTCAAAAATCAGAGTATTAGTCCAGGTCAAATATAATGGCAAAACCATTATAACAAATCTTCTGCTTGCAAAGATTAATAGCATTGATGTTTTCATAGTCACTATGAACTAGTAATATTCTAGTGTTTTAAACTGAAGAGGAACATGCACACTTTTTTGAAATAAAGTTCTAATTTTGATAATAAGTAGGCCACTTGCAGTTAAGGCCCCCAATAATCTCAATATTTGTATTTACAATGGAGGACAAATCTAGAGCAGAACATCTAGAACTGATGAAAATAAAGGCCCCAGCCCTGATCTGATAGTGTGCCCCAAAATCACCTGAGTGCTTATTAAAACTACTCCAGGCCCTGGCAGTTTGGCTCAGTGGTTAGAGCGTAGGCCCGTGGACTGAAGGATCTCAGGCTCTATTCTGGTCAAGGGCATGTACCTCAGTTGTAGGCTCAATCCCCGGACAAGGTGGGGGCACGTGCTGGAGGCAACCAATCGATGCCTCTATTTCTTTGTGTCTCTGTCTCTCTCCCTCTCTTTCTCTCCCCCCTCCCTTCCACTCTCTCTGAAAAGCAATGGAAAAAATATCCTTAGTTGAGGATTAAAAAAACAACAACTACCACCCCAGTAGTCAGTAGGCAGTATTCTCTCTACTTCTGAGGCAGGATCTCTGAGACAGAGGCCAAGGAACCTGCACTTTTACCAAGTACTCCAGGAGAGTGTTAAGATCAGGAAAAATGAAAACAAAACAAAACACTGCTGCAGAGTAGAACGTGAAACCCACATGTCAAGAGTCTAACAGTATAGAAATCAAAGAACTCTCAAAAAGACAACATCCTCCCACCTTGCCTTGCCTTTCCCTATCTCTTCCTGCATCCATTCTCCTCTCTCTTTAAACCACCTACAGTCTTCCTATGTCCTCTCCCATGCCCAGTGAAACCTGTGGTCAGAGGCTGTCACACAGAGGTATCAAAGAGAGCCCCGTGCAGTCTCAGTCGTCCTTCCTTTCACTTGGGGGAGATCTGCCTTTTACACTGGGACGAAGCCAGTTTGTGGCACGCTGGTGTCGGGGGCAGCCTGTTCTAGCCTAGCCTCCCTACTGCACGTGGCCATCAACCCAGTACCTTGGCTTTGAAGGCTTCAGAACCTGCTGCTTTTCCTGATCCACAACCTCTACTGTGGCAGCAGGGCCACAGGCACACGTGCACTCCTGGAGCCCCTTTCACCTCCTCACCCAATTTGTTCACTCTGAGGAACTCTCCAGGCCAAATGCCTGGGTGTGCCCATCTAAGGACCAGGCACTGAGGCTTCATCAAGGTAGGCCAAGGCGGCTCAGAGGCTGAGAAGCAGATCCATGTAGTGTCCCACACTGACGGTTTCAGAGACCGGGGAGGTTTATTCAAACATCAACATAATTCTTTCTTTTTGGCCAAAGTGCTATAAACTTTACAGCGGTTGTATGCAATTACACAATACTCAGGGATTTCACAGGTCATGAGGATACGCAAGGGCTCTTCTAAAATACTTTAGGCTCTTTGTACAAAAGGCATTATCTGAGTAATAGAGTACTGCTATAAGAGAGCACTTACTTCTATTACTAGAAATAACTTGGGCTTTGGGTAATTTTCAAATCTAATTCACAAATCTCTCCACATTCCAATTCTATAGCTTAGGTTTTTCCTCCGTTGGGCAGTGCCTAAACTTGGCAGGCCAGACTGCAATCCATGAAGAATAATGCAATAATGTCAGCTTGGGCATGTTACTCAACCAAAGCAGTCTATTTAAAAATGCCTCATTCTTTTAAGTGGCTGCCTCCACGGAGGGAGATCTGGGACAGTCAGGAGTTAGAGGGAGCTAAACTTGTCACTGTATACTGTAAATGTCTGTGTACCTTTTGACTTTCATTTCATGTTCATGTGTATACCTAGTCAAAAAGATTTGTTTTTAATTTAACAATTACGTGCTAAGTGTATTTTACCACAATAAAAAAATGAATGTTCTAATTTTTCAAAATTACGAAAACGTCAGAATAGTAGGAAGAGAACTGGGCTAGAAGAGAAAGCCTGGCTCTGCCTACCAGTGCAATCTTGGACAAAGTAATCAATCTGTCTTGCCTTAATTTTCTGTCCTATAAAATAAGAGGGTTGCCATACATGGTTGTTAAAGTCCATTCTGCTCTAGAAGTTTGTGATTTTATGAAGAGGCATTCCTTATCTTCATTTGACAGTAACTTTGAGTTAGCTGGACTTAGATATTTTAAAAATTACTTAATAGGGAGAAAGACAAGAACCTTAAATTTCAGAATCCTTTTAAGGTTCACAGATGACTAAGAGTTTAGAATCAGGTTTTGGGATAATTAAAATAAGCTGGAAGGACTTTTGCTCAGGATTTTCTTATAAGCAATGGAGGATTTAGTCAACTAACAAGAGTTCACTATGTTCTTACTGCTTATATTTTAAGAAAGTTAGAAACATATAAATTTTCACAATTAGTAAAACAATTCACTTTTGTTTATCCAAAACTGCTTCCACATTAATATTGCTCAAAAATCTTGGATTTTACTTCATATAGTTACAATTTTAAAGAAACTATCAGTTTTGCTTAGTTCAATGTTTAGCAAAATTCTAAATTCCACTGTAAAACTATTCTTCTCATAGAAAAGGATTACATAAATCTTTCCTTGTTTGTCACATTTTTCTCCACAGGATTCAGGGCATGAAAATGCCATCCCTATTAAGAAGGATTTATTCTTTTAGCAGGTAGTTGGTGAAATTGGCTATAATAGCTCTGGTTTTATTGATGCCACAAAATACTAGACTAGGAAGGAATAAATTAATCTACCTACTCAAATGATTTTTCTGGAGCCTCAGAGCCACAGAAAGGGGAAGTTGTTAAGTAAATTATTCTGAAAGGCACAGTAAAGTATATTAAACTCTGGTTATAAAAACATCTGATTCAGTTTCAGTAGACTAGTAAATTGGCACCAGTGGACTAACAGATAAAATTATAGTATCATGAAAAAAAAATCCAGTGGTGCCAGTCACGAACATAGAATTTTTCCAGGAAGTGTCAGAAACAAAACTATAGCCTCAAGAATAAAGATTTGAAATGGAAACTTCTCAAACCTTGGGAGGAGCTTTTATTACTTAATTTTTAATAAAAGTTTCCCAAAAATGTTGAAATATATGAAACTATATGAGTATCTCTTTGCAAATCTAAAGGTACATTGTTACTTTAGAAACAAAATTCATTTCATATAGCAATTTTGACATGCATTCCATGAGACATTTAGAGAATTAAAAACCTAGGCAAAAATTTTAGTATGGGGAAAGGGCAAAGTCATTCTTAAAAAAAAGTATTTTTTCCTTCTACCTTTTCTGCTCTTCTCCACTATTTTATCAAGGCAATATGATAATTTGCCTTGATAAATGAATTTGGAGATAAATAAAGGCATAGATTTGAATCCTAGTTCTACTACTTACTGTGCGGTCTTACCCAATTTATACCTCCTCTGTACCTGTTTCTATATTTATGCAGAGGGTATAACATTACTTACCTTGCAGAACTATTATAGAGGTTAATAATCATAATAGCTAACATTTACTGAGTACTAACTACAGGGTGGGGCAAAAGTAGGTTTATAGTTGTGAGAACATGAAACAGTTTATTCTTATATTATTATTTATGTATTAATTATTGCATTATTTTTCATAAACATATGCTTTTTTAATCCTCACAACCATCAAAATATGCCTTCAACACACAAATATACACAATAGAAATCAACTTTTGTCTCCTTTACTTTATCTTTTTTACAGAGGATTAAATTTCTTATTCTTTTTTAAAGAGTAAACTATAATTCAGAGAGATTAAGTAACTTGTCCAAAGACATAGCTAGAATCTGAACATGAAATCCAGAACTGATTCTAAATTCCTCTTTCCATTAAGCCCAGAGGTAACATGTAAAGAATAAAAGTTGACACAGTCAAAACTTGGGTCAAATGCAAAAAGATGTCTTTTTACTCACATATACCGCACTTCTCTTTTGTCAGTAATCCTTCATTATGTCCCTGGTTTAGACTGATTTCAACTAAACTGAGCTGAGGACTGAATAATTAATCAAATACCACTTTAATGCTTCTCATTAATCTCAGCCCAGTCCCATCATTCCTGGAGGCATTAGTCACATAAAACTAGTGGCAGACAGGTGGTTAGGACTCGAGGTCCTTTCCCTCAAGTATAGTAGAAAGGGTTTCTCAGTCTCAGCACTGTTGACATTTGAGGCTTTGTTGTGTGTGTATGGGGGTGGCAGGGAGAGTCCGATGACTCTGCCTAGGCCTACCAAATGCCTATAGCACTGCCAAATGTCCCCAGAGTTGGGGGTGGGGAAAACACAAAATTACCTCCAACTGAGAACTACTGATACAGATCTACTCACAAGGACAGGAAATTTGGAGCTTAAATTCTCAGGTTGTAAGTCATTTCTTGAAAACAATTTCAATGAAAAAAGAGAGTAAAAACATTTAAGAGATTTCATCTTATCTCCTGTCAATGTTATAAACCTCTCTAGATGATTTTAGCTCCTGATCTCTTCCCCTTAGTGCCATTTGCTTTTGTCCTTACTATTCAATATGCTAGTATAAAGACTTGTCTGAAGCCTATCTGCCATCCTTAACTACATTATAAACTCCTTGCACACACAGACTATAGCTAAGGGGCCTGCTACCTTCTGCAGCTCCCAGTATAGTGTTAAGTACACAGTAGAGCTGCTGAAACACCCATGAAAGCCTCATATGACAGAGGCTGCAAGCATTAGCTAAGCAGAGAAGTTTTTACTTCAAATTTATATATACTGATC